TTTCCCTCGGGTGTTACTCAAACCGGGTCGTTACGCAATGGCCCTCTCCCCCCCTATCTTTCATCAGCAGGGTGGGCTGGTGCGAGAGGTGTCGCTTGCAGTTTGTTGAGCAACGGGGCAGCCAACAGACCCGAGAGCGAAATAACCCGCCTTTTACACCAGCCTCCCCTGGAGTGTTCCCGCGGGAACAGGCAGGAGGGGTCACCGACTTACTGGGGGTAAACGGAGCAAATTCTTCACTCACACAGTCCTAGCAAGGGAGGGAAAAGGGGAGACACATTCTTGGCCCCACAAATATCACGGCGCCCTCCTTTCCCCTGAAACAGCCAACAGCACAACAAAGCTGGAGACACTGGTTTCTAATGGAACTTTGGCAAAGCGGCCCCAGCTACTCCAATGTAAATGTAACAAACGTAAAATCCATCAGCTGCGATATTGTGCTTGGGCAAGTTCCGGGTAATTCGCAGCCTGGCAGGCTCTTCCCTCGCGCACACTAGCAATAGCTTGTATCAGGCGGACCGTGTGGCAGGTGAATTGCAAACAGAGCGGGGGAGGGGGAGTATCTTTGCTCTGTTCTGCTGCAGAGGAAGGTCCTGGATTACTGGGAGAATGGAAAGTTTATTCAAGCGCATCACAAAAGAAACGCCAACTACGCGCCTGCTGTCTGCTGCTCCTGGAAAAGAAGGAAAGCAGCAGCCTTCAGGTGGATACCTGCTGTCTGATCGCTAGATAATGAAGTGAGGTCGCCAAATGTTCATTTACCCCTCCCTCCGAACAGTGAACAATCTCTGCCAGACACTTGATTCCGCGTGGACAGTCTCCTCGTATTTACATTAGAACAATGAGTTAAAAACCAGCAGCGAAGCGTAGCCGCCTCCAGGACAACACATCTCAAAAACGATGTAACGATTGCATGCAACCTGGAAATACACCATATCCCTGACCTAGAGACCGTCTCCTAAAGGGGCTTCGCCTATATCAATGCATAATGAAATCAACAAACTAAATCCAAAATCTGAGTTGTCGATTTTGTAGCACCATAGTACACTTCTCCATAGCACACGCCTGTCCCCTTTCAAATATTCTCTGTTGAATAAACTAAAAAATAAACAAGTGTAAAAACATTTTAACTGTCAATGAAAAACCGAGATCTCTCCACAAACTTGGATCGAAGAGAAATCTGGGGGAGAAAAGTGGGTCTGCAGGATTCCTTTGGGGTCTCTCTAGTTAGGGATTTAATGAACAGACCGAATGTGCTTTTCGGATGAGATTAGTTCAAACTCCGCCTCAGAGCTGGGCTCCCACAAGACTTTTACTCGGTACTTTGCTGAAGTCAAATCCCCCCTGTCTGAACTCTAATGCGGGTTTGTTTTCCACCAATGCCGGATCGCCAGTCGTGGGGTAAGGAGCCAGCCTGACCTTTTGTGGGTAAAGAAAGATAGATGCTGGATCTTGTCAGTACGGCCCATTGAATTCATACTGGGCTTCAGTTTGTTACGGACAGCTAAAAGAGGTCCTGCCTGGTTTCATTTACGGGTGGGACCGGGCCCAGAGAAGAACCAATCAAGGTCTATATTTACATTTTTTTCAACTGGCAGCGCTGTAATTTACAAGACCAGCAATCAATCGATTTGCCTTTCGTTACCCACACAGGTGTTTTAATATTTATTCTGCCTCGTTCATTTTCGTGCCATCGAAAAAATGTAAACAAATATAGTACATGTTATCGAATGACACCATTTTTAATCCCCTGTAAATTAAAATGGATATTCTCTTTACAGGGTCGCTCGAAAAGCAGTTGTTCTCTTCGCTACCCTGTTTTCACGTCGTTCTGTTTGCTACAAAATGGTGGGAGAGTTTCTCCTCTGCTCCACCTGTTTCTCAATTCATCCTTGAGAAAGAGGCACAGTTAAGTATGAAAGGAAGGAGGGAAAATCAAAGTGGCTTGATAAATTTGTTGATATCTTTGTTGACATGTCTGCCCTCTGTTGATTCACTGAGACCGCAGCAGAAGGGCCTCAACATATTTCAAACACTTAAAAAAAATCTCCACTTCTGTTTTTTTCCCTCCAAAAGCCAGGCACCTCTGTGCCATGCAGTAGCCCTCTCCAGCATCGCTCCAATTGCGTGCCCTCCAACACGTGTGCGCGCGCAGTGCTGTCCACACTGCCCCTCTTGTCTTTCCACCCAATATTTGTGCACACGGCTGGAAAGGAATTCGTTGCCTTAGATCCAGTTTGTTAGAGCAACTCGCTGCTTTCCCTTGAACAAGACAAATCGATTTTCTTATCTCAGGTTCTGGCTGCTTGCTTAAATCTGCGCTCCCTGCTGAAACCCAAGGCCAGGTTTTGTTTTTTCCCCTGAGATCGCAGATAATCCCAGCCAGTAAATGTGGGAACCCGACTTCCCAAACCCAGCTGGCACGATGCGACCCACCAGTAAGGAGGCGAAGCATTTGGCAGGACCTCGGAGGACGTGTAAATAACAGCAGAGCTGCGCCCCAGGGAAATCAAGACCCGCGTTCCCCCAGGATGCTGGCGCTCAGCGCAGGCTTTTCAGACACATGGATGTCAGACCCCGAGCGGGGCGGGGGCGTCCCCGGGGTTCCCAGTGGGGGGAGAAAGGGAGGGGGCGGGAGCAGGCCTGGCTTCCCGACAGCCTGTCACATTTCGCTTCCCTTGTCTCGATTCATGACTATTATTCGCCACGTGCTTTCGTTTCATTTTCTCCCCGCGGCTCTTGCTAACTGTGACCCTCACCGCCTAGGAGGAGGGAGGGAGGCGGGCAGCGGCTCCGCCCGCCCAGCGGGGCACTTTCAGCCCTTCGCCGGAGGGCAGGGCCAGGCCAATTTCCTTTCCCTGCAGTGCCCGGGGCGCGCCGCAAACACGCACCGCTGCGACCCAGACGGCAGCCGCCTGCCCTGCCCCGCTGGGAGGGGGGCCGCTTTCCTAACGGATCTGCCAGCGTGTCTCCCCGCCCCTGACCAGCCCTTCGGGGCTTGGGCCAGGGCCGTCTCCCTTGGGAGCCGCTGGCTCAGGGGCTGAGCCAAGAGCAGCGCCGGTAGCTTTCCAAGCGAAGGAAGCGCCTTACCATTTGGAAGCGCGGAGGGCGCCGGGCAGCAGCCAGCTCTGTGCCACACACACTCCGCTAGCTTCGGTGACTTTAAATGCAGTCTCCCTGGAGCTGGCGTTTTGCCCTTTTTTGTGTCAGCTCCCTCAGAGCACGGCCCCCAAAACCACAGATTCCACTTCCTGAGCGTTAGGAGCTTCTGCAGCAAAAAGTGCCTTTCAAAGCCCCACCGGAGCAACCCCGGGCGCTCTCTCGCTCCCTGAAAACGCCCTACCGTGCTCAGCTGCGCGGGGCTGGTCGCGGTGACATCCCGGTGTCACTCGGTCCCAGGGCGTCTCATGTCCCTCGGGGTTCTGCTCTAGAAATGACACCCAGCGAGCTGAACTATTCTGGGATCCTCTTCGACTTCCGCAACGAGAACAGGTCACAGATTCAAAACACTGATTGACTCAAAGAAAAAAAAAAGGCGCGGGGGGTGGCTTGGGGACTGTGCTCGCAGGAGCTGACAGCAAACTGCAGGGCTATTCAAACCTCTGCCCTAGGAGGGGGGAGAAGCCCACGGGGCAGGCTAGCCTAGTCGGGTTTAAGGCAGAGCAGTGTACAAAGGAGACCTTCCCTAGCCCAGAAATAACTTGTTGTGGAAACTCTTTTGGGACACTTACGCCCAACAGCGCTGAAAATACCTTGAGACCCAAACCTAGAGGCTTGCTCATTTCCCTTTGGATGCAGGGAATGGTTAAATATGGAAGAGGTAGGCGAGATTCCTCCGACCCCCCCTGCGCAGAGGCGAGTGTAGCTACAGAGTGATTCAAA